CCCGCCTAGTATGTCCAGTACCACCCACAATTTCTCTTGAACCACGCTATCGTACGCTCCCTTGATATCCAAAAATGCTAGCCACAGGGGCCTGTGTTCCTTTTCTGCTATTTCGATGCACTGCGTCAGTGAGAACAGATTTTCTTCCAACCTCCTGTGTTTCTGAAACCCATTCTGCAGTTCCACCAGCACCCCCTCATCTTCTATCCATACCTGCAGTATTTCCTTTATAATCTCCATCGCCAGCCTGTAGACCACTGATGTCACTGTTATAGGACGGTAGTTGTTTATGTCAGCTTTGTCCCCCTTTCCTTTATAGATCATGCTCATCCTGCTAAGTTTCCATCCATCGGGAACTTCTCCATCGATTATTATTTTGCTCACTGCCTCTCTTGAAGCCTGCTTCGACTTCGGACCTAATGTCTTTATCAGCATATTTGAAATTCCCTCTGGGCCTGTTGATGTACTACTAAGATCCCTTTTCTCAGCCCTTTCCCACTCTTGTTGTGAAAATGGAGCCATTGCGCCACTTTATTCATCCTTGTCTATTGTGGTGCATAAAGTACCTCTTTGTTGAAATTTTTCTGTCAATCTTGTTCTTATATATTCAATAGCTTCGTCCCCGTCTAGCCTAGCACCTTAAGCTGTAGTTATAAACCTCTGCTCTAGGCTCGCTCTCATTTCTTAGGGAGTTTAGATGGTTCAAAAATTTCGCAGCTGCGTTTCTATCTTTTTTATGTACTTCTGCCAGCCACTAAGCTCCCTTTCTTCTATACTTTTCATTGATCAGAAGGGATACATCCCTTCTACAGCTTAGAAAGATTTCCCTTTTTCTTTCAACATCATCTGTCGGTTCACCACACTGGTTAGCATGTCTGTGTTCCCAAGATGCTTCCTGACGTTTTGCTAAGGCTCTCCTAACTTCCTCATCCCACCAACTTTTCGGTATGTGTCTTCTTTTCCGGGGTGACTTGTCACGTGCCTTAGCAAGCTCTAGCTCAGTCTAATTAGATTTGTGTATGTCCACACTGTTTTATTATCCTCAGTGATTACTTTCTCAATTAGTTTAGTGACTATTTCGACTTGCCTTTCTGAATAAAAAGTTTCCTGTAGTTGCTCATCTTGTCTCCTTCCCACTTTCACTGCTCTTCCAAAACTTAGCTTGATACGTTTTTGATCACTACCCAGACTTCTGGAGCCACCTTCATCTATGTGCATTCCCTTGAGCTTATGATACATCCTATGTGACATCAGTGCGTAATCTATTGTCGACTGCAGCCTTCCTTCCTCCCATGTTATTTGCCCTTCACACTTCTCGGTACTGTTGCAAATGATCAAATGAAGCCTTTCACACATATCCATGATCATTTTGCCTGTCGGGTCGGTATACCCATCTATATATTCTATGTGTGCATTCATATCTCTTAGTATAATTATCTCGCACTCTCCTCCTAACTCCTGAATGTCCTTTGATATACACTCTACCATTGCCTGGTTTTCCTCTTTGGCCTTTGCTCCCATCCACAAGTACACAAAACCAAGGAGCGTCATTTGCCTTGCCATTTTTCCTTTTAGCCATAAATGTTCCTTGCACTCCTGCTTGACCCTTTGCCAGTCTGTACTTTTATGAATTAATGCCCCAATACCACCCCCCTTTTCTGCTGCCTTCTGTTCTGTTACAATATTGCCATGCGTAGTCCGCATTGTTAGGAGGTTGTTCTATGTCCCTGAGATGGGTTTCTACAAAACCGTATACCATCGGCCTTTCCTCCCTTAGCTGTTCTTCTATCTCTTCCCACTTCAGCCTGTTCCTACCACCCTGCATGTTAATATACCCTATGTCTGAATTGGCTCGGCGCTCGTGGCTACGTCTATTTCTGCCCCGGACTCTACCTATCTTAGATACTGGTGCCACTGTGGAATCGTATCTGTCCAGACCACCGGTCAAAGAGTCTCCCTGGCTGTTTTCCTCGTTACTAGCTATCCTTCACCCTGAAGGGACTGCTCACCCCACAAAAAAGCTACTGCGCGTTCTGCAAGTCACCAACCCACCTCATGATCTTGCCGCCCATGGAAGTGAATTCTGTCTAGTTGAAAATCACCCCACCTTTGCACATCTCTGTTTACTTCCACCACCTCAAAGCCTTTCTCTCGACTCATCCACCATATCTCTTGGTTTGCGTTGACAACCGCTCTTTGCAGGTTGCTATCACGCACCTGTACCTCCGATATTGTGCGTATCGCTACCTGTACCTGAGGAGAAGTGGCGCGCATGTCATCGACGCCTTTTGCCAGTGTAGTTGCTAGTCCTGCTGTATCTTCATTTAAGACATCGTTTAAACCGCCTGAAATTATCACGAGGTTTCATCTATCAGCTGCAGTTTTGAGTTTTGCGTTCGCTTGCCTCATGACTGCTCCAGCTTGCGTCCTGGGAACGCGCCTACTGCAACCCTCTTGTCACTTCTTACCCTCTCTTTGATGGCTTCTGTGCATCGATATAAATTCGAGTCCCCGGCGATTATCACATGTTGTGACTTTTCAGCTGGAGCGTCCTGCACCTGGGGTTACGTGCACCTGTGGCGCCGGCTGCTTTGTCCCCTCCCTGCCCCACCACTACTTCGCTGAAGCTGGGCCTTGCGACAACTGAACTGGCTGAACCTGTTTTTTCAAACTTGCTTGCTCTTTCTTCTCCACAGTGCTGGTTGCCAGTTACCTACTGTTCTCTCCGTAGGCCGCTTCTCTGTTTACCTTGGCTAGTGCTTCCTCGGCGGACTTCAGCTTTTCTCCCTTGGCCCTCGTTTTCTCTTGCCGTGTCGCCAACACATTCTCGAGCTCGGTGATTCTCATCAACAGGTCACTCTGGGTAACCATAATTTGCTCCATTCTTTCCTCAACCATACATTGCCTACACTTCGCGTCAACCTCTTCTCCTTCCTCGTCTACAATTGAGTCCACTTTCAAACCAACCCAACATCCTGAACACTTCGCAGTCTTTTTAACCATGTCTTTCCGAGACCAATTGTCCGTACGACTTGTCTCACTCGATAATTACAAAACTCGAGCCCTGCCCTACGAAAAAGTGAAAGTCTAAGCTCTACTACAAAAATTTGCGCGTTCAATGTATGTGCACCTCCCCCACGGGGTGGCAAAAGAAAACGAAAAACAACAAAAAACAAAAAATCAAACACACACATGCACAAACTAATGAATACCTGGGGACTGACCCCCGAAAAGCCGTACAACAAAATAAGTGCTACAGGGATTTTAATTGCTGTCCTATACTTATAAAGACAAGCTCAAAACACGCAAAAGAACTTATCTGCGCAGTCGATCGGGAGCGCTCAAAAAAACACGTCCATCCACCGTGACAGTTCGAACCGAACTTTCGTACTACAGAGCGCCCCCTGGCGTATGGCACCACCGAAGAACACGTGGGCGTAGTAGCGCGATCGTCTCTCTCTTCTTCCGTACATGTGACATCAAGCCTTCTTTTCTACAAGTAACGCCCTTTAGTGTCGTACCGTTTGCATTTTTCAGCGTATAGTACAAGTACCACCGTCTATGGCCGGTTCAAAGGTTAACGCTGGGTGGTTACCCAGAACGGGGACGTACAAGCCACGCCATAAAAGCTTCGCCCCTAAAAGAAACGGTCTTGGTGTGCCCCTTTGTGGTACTCCGGTGGTGAATGGGTGGGGCACACATTCGGCATTCCCCACACGGGGCATCTGTGAACAGTCGGCGAAGAAGGCATCGATGTAGCACAGAAGTTTGCCCTGCACACTAAGTGCACAGACCACCGTGATGATCGTAGCGTGGGGGAGATATAGTCAAATGCTGACTGCACATCGAGCAGAAGTATCACGGCTGTCCCTGCTTGTGTAGTGCTTGCTCCAGGGTGCCAACAAACCCGGTGATGGCGTCAGCCGCACCGCAAATAGAGCGAAAGCAGTATTGTGGCAGTGGTAAGATGCCGCTCGTAGTGGCTATTCATTGGAGGTGATTAAGCGCCATTGTTTTCATGGTTTTTTCTGGTATCGATACGAGGGATATATGCCGGTCAGTAGCAATGCTGTGTGGTGATTTTTCACGCTTCAAAACCGGCAAAACCGTCAGGTATCTGGGTGAGAGTCACTGCTGAAGACCTCGTTGAAGGCAACGAGAGGGAAATGGCGCTGCGAAATTCTCGTCAGTGTCATCTATCGGCGAGCCGTGCGCATTCGACAGCATTGCTCTGGCGTGGTCTGAGCTGTATGCTCTCGACAACGCACGATCTGCCATTGGACGGCATATCATGATTTTGAGGCCCACTGTACGTTTTCATTTTTAGACGTGAAGTAGGTACTTATTTATAGCCTGTAACCTCCAGGAAACAGATAAAAACTTACACAGTTTGAAGGAGGCATTTATGTGGTGGACATAGTGCCAGAAAAATGTACTCACTTGATGCGCGTCGGTTGGTTTTTATATGTGCGGCCAAGCTTTCACACAGTTGTGGTTCAGGATCGTTATACCTGCCATATATTTGTCAATCGGTGCTTGACATATTCTCAAGCGAACACCGCCTAATATTAGCTCTCTATATGCATACATGGCCAAAAGAAGCGCGATCGTTCCAGCTACGCTGGCATAGAGTTAATAACCTGGATGCGGTTTTTTTTTGTCATGGAGATTTTTCAATTTTAGGCAATGAGAATTACAAGAACAATGTATTATAAAGAAGAGAACAGCTGCTATGTGCCTGTTAGGTCGTTTCTGAAATGTGCGAGATTGATCGGCTGCATAAGGGAAAGTGACAACTAAAACTCTGCATTATGGTTACAAAAATGTAATTTATGATCCGGTGAGTCAGCTTAGCAATGAGGCATTCAGTACAGCAGCTTCAGTACTTTGATACCATGATTAGAAGAACGTCAATTTTCTTTTGTATTCCAAACACTTTTGTGGAAAATTAGTGTTCATGTGTGGCATTGACCGAATGGGAATGATAAAGTTGCACTTACCATCGATGAACGCGTAGTTGTAGTAAAATGAGAGAGTGCATAATTTGTTTGTATTCCTTATCACGGGAGAATCAAGTCCTGCGGGTGCCGAATAATCATCCTTCTTCTTCCCGTTCGTTCGAAGCAGGAGGTAATGTCCTAGAAATGAAGAAACCTTGTAAATAACTATTTAGTTTGGCCGTCATGAATGCTGCAGGATTCTCAAAAACTTTTGGAAATAGAAAGAGTGAAGCCGCATGCATACGTCACTTGTCAATCATATCTTCAAAATATAACCTCTCTAAACAATGCGTGAAACTCAGCTTCTGTAACTGAACACATGCGCACATTCATCCTTCAGGAGCACATCTTTCACTTTAGAGAGCCGAGGACAAACACGTTCAAGTGATCTACGGGGCACACATTTCCTACATCATCACGAAGTACAGCATTTGATTTGTCATCAAACTGAAAACACCTAGTCCCTCCTGCCGAAGTGTGGCGCGTAGCAATGAAGAGCACGGGAAACTCGGAGGTAATTCGAGCGTTACACGAGGCCTGTTACCTCAGCAGCGACTCGGTAGAATGTACTACAACAATAGTGTTTGTGTATATTAATTGAAAATATGAATGACCCTGTTAGTAATTGTCTAACTTTTTATTGAACGGGAGCGAGGCCTCCACGTTGTCATACATCCACTTACAACCTAACTTGAAAACATGTTGTTACGAGGAGAAAATACATTTTGTCTCAAAACAATATCCTAACAAGCAGGCAGCATGCACATGTAGGCATAAATTTGACAATGTTAACGGAGAGAAAGTGTCAGGCGATCCTGTAGGACTGGCGTTGCACACCAAGTTAGCATCTCCGTACCTGCTAACATTACAGCGCAAGTGTAACTCCACATTGACCGTATGCATTGCCGTGAGTATAACGGCAGCTAGGTACCTCTCAAATGATGTAATGATGGTCTAAGCAACGCAACGATCACGTGAGTGCATTCAGCATGACTGCTTGCGCCAACCCTACCACATGGCTGTATCCACGCGACAATTGAGTTGTCACCTGACCTGGCGCAGCTGCCTGGCTACGGGAAACCTGAGAATCGATTCACTATGTCAGGCTTCTGACAAAGGACGAGGCCAGCAGACAACTGTGGCAAAAGCGTACACCAACGCCTTTCATCACATTTGATATATCAAGTCAACATAGCTCACTGGGTGGTCCATAATAAGAACTTGTCGCAGCAGGCTACTTCGTGTGTAGTGGATGGAATCATCATTTTAGCACTAAAAGCATACACACATGGAAGACAACAAGACAAAACCTTTTCTGTGTTTGTCTTTTTAGCGCAAAAGTATTCATCGTCCCGCTGGACCGTAAGTTCTTAAGTGAAGCTTGTAAATATTGAAATTATGTCATGAATTTTATACAGCAGCGTAATCCTGACCATTCGTGAAAAACCATTCCCAAGTTGCCAATGCTTATCAGGAATGGCTGATTTGGTTGTTTCTTGCTTTGAAGATATTGCAACAGCACGCGTAATAGGCAGATGCAGATGTCTATATCTAGGAGATTACATGGTAAGGACATTAGCTTGCACCTTGAAAAACCGAGTACTTGAGACCACGAGCGAAGGACAAAGGCAGGTGGTTATTTCTCTACCATTCAACACACGCAAATAACCGGACAAGGGTGAGTGGAGCGGAGCGTAGAAAACAATTATCTTGCATTGCCATCAATTTTGTTAGTACCATGCCTACAAACCGCGGTTCTCAACTCTCCATCCTGATACAGATGCTTCATAATGTAACTCGAAGCACTCACCGTGTCGACTTCCATCTGATCCGGTCTGAGGGGAGTTTTCGACGCTTCCGATTGCTTCGCGACGCCATGAAGTAGGGCCCATGTTCGTCAAGGAGTGGTTCTTCCAGCCACAAGAGCTTTCGTTGAAGTCGCACTGACCGCAATCTTTCTCGTCAGCGCCGTCATCGCAGTCCGTCACAAAGTCACAGACTCGCTCAATATTAATGGTCTTGTTTCCGCAGTAAAACCCCTCGTTTGAACGCGCTGCACAGAAAACCCGTATCAGAAAACACTTGAGTTTCGGACAATTAAGTTCACTGCTAACGCTTCGTCCTCAGATAATAACTCTCAGAATGAAATAGGATTGAGGGAACTAGAGGATTGATTTCGTTCATTTAAAACGTTTATCTTGTACGGCAACTGAATCAGTACGTAACGACGTAGTTAAGTTTTCGTGTTTTTTAGATGGCTGCGAAAGGAAATCAGCACTCATAAGGATTCTTTGTTAGTGTTTAGTGCATATTATAAACAAACTAGTTTCTGCAACGCTAAGACGAACTTAAGCATTGGCAAAATTCGGCTTTAAAATTCTTATATGACAAGTTGAGTGGCTGAAGTCTCCAACACTAACTTTGTACGTTGGTGGTTTTCTCAGTTGCTTGGACAAGCAAGCGAATTCATTTAGTAAATGATTACTTTTCTGCGAGTGATGTGCTTACGTTTGTGTCTTAAAGTATGAGTAATTCGACTGTTTGTCACATTGAATTAACACATGCACTAAAATGGTCTTTGTTTTCTTGGGGAAGTATATTTCAGCGTGACAACTTTGCTACAAGACTGTGCTTATCCCTGTATCAAACATCTAATCGAATATAAAACTTCGGAAAGACACAAGTTGAGGCGAAGGCACAACCTTGAATACAAGCAAAATTTGTGAATAGAAGCAGAAGCAGCAAACAGCTACGTCGAAGGTTATCGCTTGTATAGTACCTTTTGGTTTGTACGCTTTTATTTGTTCGACCACTTACTCAGTTCTTCGCACGCCGTCTCGCTGACTGATACGTCGTCAATAGCTACGAAGCCTTTCGGATTGAGTCCTGACACTGCGGAAATGGGATCATCCTAGAAAAGAAATGCGGCAACATGGAAATTCAGACAGCGTGTGTTTGATGAAGAGTTGTATAGTTCGTGGTTCTGAAGCGTTAGTTTCTTCAAAGGTGCATGTTGCCCTGATTGGAAAGAGAGTAGTACACTGAGAGAGAAAATGTTACTTTTTATAAAGTATATGTCAATGGTCAGCACGCGCATCTTCTTCACCACTGATTACTGCGCACTTCGAGCTAGCGGAGTCCTTATGTACGTGGTGCACCATACATACATGAATAGTCTTGGCTTTGATTCACCATTCAAGTTTGAAAAAAAAATCACTATATACGCTTCTTTTAATTATTTAGTTATTTCGGTGGTCGAAGCGTATTTAAAGCGCACAATATGTGAGTGCTATATCTTCGTTTGTCACCGCTAGGCGTCGACGCGCATCTCAAGTTCCAAGGTTATTTGACCACAACGTGCAGTAAGCCAACCTGTGAACTCATAGGTGGCTTGTTTCACGGCAAAAGCTGTTATGAAAGCACAACTCGGGTCATGCGCGGCGCCTTAGTTGTCCTCCGCTGCTGTCGCCACCGCCAAAGCCAGTGTCGGTAACCACATCGCACGAAATGAAAAAGAAAAAAAAAACTAGCAGCAATGACACAGTGGGGCTCGAACACGCGTTCACTGCTTGCCAACGCAGTATTCTAACACTGAGCTACGCCCTTGCTTCGGACTTTTTGGCAAACTTGCCTTAGGCTGGTTTGCTGTTGGGAAAGCAAAGAAAGAGGCAGGCCGGTGAGGCGATGACTCGGCAAAGACCGAATGGTAGCGGTTTCATCACTCTTGTTTTACCCAGGGACTCTACCACTCCTTACGTCCACAGTATGTGTTCGAGTTTCATTGGTAGAAGGCTAGTATGACGAGCCATACAGAACCTGGATGCTAAAAGATCTTCTTTCACTTTCCTCGCTTCTTCCTCCCCTTTCAAGGACGGCCCATACGTCGTGTAACAATGTGTGTGTGTGTGTGCGTGTGCGTGTGTGTGTGTGAGTGTTTGGGTGTTACATTGCGTGTTTGGGCAAAACAGTGAGCAACACGCAGCAGTAATATTGATGTCGCCAAATTGAATGAACAGTGCACCTAATACAAACGTATCGTTGTGATAGCTTTGTAAAAATATATTTCACAAATAAGAAAACCTGTGGGAAGCAGCCAGATAAAAAAATTATGTAAAGTAGCGTGCAAATAATGCTGAAAACCATTCATGTCCAGTCGTTCTGACATATGGTAATATTTATTTTATGTATTTTTTATTTTTGCCACCAACCACTGCAGTTTCTCTTTCTCTACCACAAGGTGTACCATGAATAATAGAAAATGATTTACCTGAAATTTCAGCCAAGATAATGGTGTGTGACATTGCGTGTACGTATCAGTACACAATGAAATATAGCGGGCATTGGTCATCCTGCTGACCTCGCATAAGTGGCGCGTTCCCCAGACAGGCTGGAGGTACTCCATTAAGTACTCACCCAGATTGTCAGAAGCCGAGCTTGATAATGCTTCCATGTGCCGTTTGAACTTGGAACTCTTTCGCCCTGCACATAGAGCTGTACGCCATCAGGGAGATTTGGCATGTAGTACCATAAGTATACGCATTGGTATCGGTTTGTATCCAGCAGTGTTAGTGATGTGCTATTCCCTTTCGTGCCCGTGTTCTTGAAGAGAAGGTAGTAGCCTGTAAAATAGAAATCGTTCTTTCAGCAGCATGAAAGTAAGCGGAGTACCAGGAAGACCCATTTCAATCTCGTCCAGGAGGCTATATCGTACACAGATACTATGCGAGCTGGCCTTATCACCACCTTTATTCGTGTTTTCATTATCATACGTCACCACTCTTTATTTTTTTTTTCTCTTTTCTCTCGTTCACAGCAGCAAGTCAGAGCGTGCGAGCTCTGGCTGACCTCTCTATTTTCTACAAAAGCATAACTCTTTCACCACAGGACAGGATGCAATGAAAGGGGCCTTTTTAAGTGTGGCTTCAGCCAAGGCTTTATATATTGAATTGGCCTATCGCCTGTTCTTGTAGCCTTACCAGTAGCTTCATTCTTTCTCCGCTTTTTGGCCCTTTTTAGGAGTCATCTGCCTTTGTAAGGCCGAGTGAATCTAGGCAACTTGGCGTTAGCTTTTGGGTGTAACCATTTTTTCTCCATTGAAAAACAAACACTCTGCACACCTTCAATACCACGGTCCTCCGTCTTCACCGATGTTTGCTTCTCATTCTTTTTCCAATTCATAACATACTCCAATAAATTGCGCTCATCGTCCATAAGCCTAGTGTGTTACAAGATAGCTATAAGAGAAGCTCTGAAGGATGGTGGCTTGATTCTCACAGACTTGTTGAACCTTCAGTTTTTCAGGGCACTTCATTAGGTACGTGAAAAAGAGAACCCGGCAATGACGTTGCTTAGAATTGTTTGCTTTCACTGTGGCTGTTCAAAGCACACCTCAGCAGTGCGTTATTGGCGTTTGCTTGTTCATAATTCAATTGAGTGATATCAATACATACAGGCCTTTACTTTTGAGATTTGCTTCTCGACTGGTGAAGCCTTAGAATGATCTCCTTTCGTTGATAACTTTCCGTTGATTCTACTGGGCCCAAATGTACATAGATCCGTTACTAAGGCATCTTTTTTCATAAGGCGTAATATTTAACGTTCTTCTGTCTTTCGGCACAGTAAACGTCGAGCTGAGCCGTTCACTAAACAGGCGACGTCATCATCTTTCTTTCTTGTCCTCTCTTGTGTTTCACTTTTGCACACACACAGTCGTACAGCTCATTCTCATTCCAAGCTCTTGCCAATAATATTTGCCGGTGTACGCGCTTCGTAAAATGTTCATTACAACCAAGCTTAGTGGTTAATACGCACAAGAGCTGCGTGGTGCACACACTACTGTCACAGCTGCTCCTTGAACACAGTGTGTATTACCTGCTGCCTGTTGTCATCGTGACTTTAGTACTTTCATTATTTCGTAATTGTGGAAACTGTTCCTCTCCAAAAACACACATTACCCAGAACAAGAAGCTACATATAGTGTCTTTATTTTTTTCCTTATGTTCGTTGATGCGTGAGCGTAGCTACCAGCCTGTAGTAGATCAAAAATTGCTACTTGCCAACTAGACATCATCCCACCTTGAGGAGAACTCACCGTCTTCACTCTGCGTCGTGTGGTCTCGGGGCAGCTCGGTAAAGGATCCCGCCCGCACCACCTCGAATGCCGCCTGTGGTGGCATGGCATCTACAGAAAGTACAACGAATCTACTGAGCAATTATTGAGATGTCCGTTTCAGACAAAACCACACCACAGGAACTAATCACACTTTTCAGGATTCTAGTGAGGCAGTTTTTTATAGGTTGGAGGGTTAGTTCAGCCGTACTTATTATTGTACGGTATTCTGTGAATATATATATATATATATATATATATATATATATATATATATATATATATATATATATATATATATATATATATATATATATATATGATAAACTTCGAGAATAGTGCTGTATAGGAAACAAAACAACAAAAAATGGAAATCGATGGTATGCGAACACGATTGAGAAATGCCGATATGTCACTTTAAAAGCAGCGCAACATTACGAAGTGGAGGTAAATGATGCCGAACATGACTACCATGTCATGATTATCATGTTTGGATGTGTCGCTTACCTTCTTCATATATTGACGTCACGTGATACCAAATTTAGTATATGTAGAGCTAGCGAAATGGCCGTGAGCACGCTATGAGCGTGGTAGGTTGCCATGTTCTTGCATGACACGCGTCTCAGGATTATCATGTTTGCACCAGTCATATAGTTTGTCATCCAACAACGTTACGTAACACCAATTCGGGTATATGTGGAGCTAGCAAAACGGCCGCGAGCGCATCATGAAGGGCCCAATATACACCAAAGTAGCGTTGACGCACGCATACGCTGGGGACAGTGACGCTACGTTAGTAAAACGCGAGCACTCTATAGTCTGACGCCAGCCGCGACAAGCGTCCTTCGGCGCGGCCCGACGGCAAGCGGCGCCAAATGCGACATGCTGCATTTTGCGACGATTCTTCACCCAGACAATGTTGCGTCTCCCCCTTTTTGTGACGAAGGGACACCGGACGCGCTGCAACGCGCATGCGTCAAAACAACGCAGCGCGGCGCACGCCTGCGAGTATATAGCAGGACCGGCGCATGGCATGGTAACGCCGGCGTGACGCGACAAAATGAACGCCGGTGAGCACGCGCACAATTGGATTGGATTGGATAAACTTTTATTTGGTCCTCCAAAACACAGATCACTGTGTTGCGGGCAGCTCCCACGTAGGGACTGAGATGCCAAGCTCCTCAGCCGCCTCGCGGGCCTGGTGGACAGCCCAGAGCTGATCTGCCAAGGATGAGCTGCGGATTGCCGCCTCCCATCTGGCAGAGGTGATGTGCGATAAATGAGCGAATTTGGTGCACTGCCAGAGCATGTGTTCTAATGAAGCTATTTCCCCACAATGTGGACAAAGATTACTTGGATATAGGTCAGGGTACATGATGCGTAACATTTTCAAAGTAGGGTACATCCGCGTTTGCAAAAGCCTTAATGTAAGTGCTTGGGGCCGGGTTATATTTTTGTGAGGTGGAGGAAAAATCCTTCTAGACAGGTAGAAATGTTTAGTGAGCTCGTTATATGTTGTAAGAATCTCCCGGTTATCCCCTTCACCGCTAGAACGCATCCCCGGGGAGGCGCGGTTGGAGAGTTCTCGCGCCACCTCGTGTGCTGCTTCGTTGAGATTGGGAGGGGAATCGTTGATTTGTCCAAGGTGAGCTGAGAACCAAATCAGAAGATGATGTGTTATGTTCTTGCCTTGCAGTATTTTTAGCGTTTGTTCACAGACCGTCCCCTTGGCGAACGCCCGTAGTGCTGCCATGGAATCACTGTAGACCACTTCAATGTTATCCATCTTGAGTGCTAAGGCGATGGCCACTTGTTCCGCAATGATTGGGTCTTTCGTCCTGACCGTCGCTGAGTTGACGACATGGCCAGCCCCATCGACTACCACTGCCACAAACGCTTTCCCATTGGCGTAGGAAGCCGCGTCAACAATTACGACCCCTCGTTCCTCGTTTGAGACTTGACGAAGTATAGTCCTGGCCCTCGCTACTCTTCTTCCGACGTCGTGTTCTGGATGCATGTTTCTCGGTATAGGAGATACCGTGATAGTCTCCCTGATGTTGTCAGGGATATCATTGTAATTGCGTCTGATTGCTATTGGGTTTTGGCCCAGCTCCTGCAGGATCATTCTCCCCGACCTTGTAGTAGATAACCTTGAAAACTGTGCTCTCTCTTGGGCTTCTGCTATTTCTTCGAGCGTGTTGTGTATGCCAAGCTCAAGCAGACGCTCGGTGCTGGTATGTAATGGTAGGCCCAGGACCTTCTTGATAACTTTCCTGAGGAGCACATTCAGTGTCTCGGACTCTGCTCTTGACCAGTTGTGCATTGCTGCCTCGTATGTGAAGTGACTTAGAACAAACGCATGCATCAACCTGGTGAGGTTGTCTTCCTTGATCCCATTTCTTTTGTTGGCCACTCTGCGTATGAGGTGCACCGCACTGTCTATTTTCCGAGTTAACTTGGCTATAGATTTGCTGTTGGCGCCGGTAGACTCTATCAGCATTCCCAGGACTTTGATGGAGTCGACCTTCTGGATGGCATCCCCTTGATTTGTACGGTGATGGATGTCTATCTGGTTTAACGGCTTCCATCCCCTGGGCTTTGGTCCCCGGCGTGCAGTCCGATAAAGCAAAAGTTCTGACTTACTCGAGGAGCACTTGAGCCCGCAAGGGCGAAGGTAGTCTTCTACGGTGTCAATCGCCTCTTGCAGAGCGCTCTCAATCTGCCCCTCACTTCCACCTGTGCACCAGATGGTAATGTCATCTGCGTAGATGCTGTGCTTCAATCCTTCAATGCTCGATAATTTCTTTGACAGTCCAATCATGGCAATGTTAAACAGCATTGGTGAAATCACTGCCCCTTGTGGCGTGCCCCTTGCTTCTAGTTCGATTTCTGCGGTCTCGATATCTGCAATCTTCATCACGGCTTTCCGATCTGTAAAAAAGGACCATACGTAGTCATAGAAGGCTTTCCCTAGACCAAGCTTGGAAATTGCTTCGAGTGTGAATGAATGGTGGATGTTGTCAAACGCTTTTTCTAGATCTAGGCACAGAATGGCTCTCACGTCTCTGGTTTTATTGTCAATGACCTGGTGTTTGATAAGCTTCAATGCATCTTGTGTGGATAGCCCTGCCCTGAATTCAACCATATTGTGTGTATATATGTTGTTATCTTCCAAGTACTTGTTTATCCTGTGCAGTATGGCATGTTCTGCGACCTTGCCGATACATGATGTCAAGGATATTGGCCTCATGTTGTCCAAGTTAGGGGGCTTTCCTGGCTTAGGAATAAGGATCGTGCTGGCCAGCTTCCACTGCTCTGGCACCCTGCCTTCTTTCCATGCTGAATTGATCATATCCCTCAGGGTTTCAATTGAATCGTCATCAAGGTTACGCAGGGCCTTGTTTGATATACCGTCCGGACCAGGGGCCGACCTGCCATTGAGATCATGCAAGGCACTTCTGATCTCCTCGATGTTAAAGTCGCCCTCAAGACCTGGATTTGGCGTGCCCTGGTACTGTCTACTTGGTTGTGCCAATCCTCTTTTGATTGGGAGGTACTTATGCACGAGCTGCTGGACAACTTGCTGTTCTGTAGTGCGCCCTATCTCTTTATGCAAAATTCGAGCGATGACATGCTTTTGATTTGTTTTGGTGGTGTTTTCGTTGAGGAGATGCTTTAACATATTCCATGTCTTGCCATTGCGCATCTGACCATCGACGGAGTTGCAGATTTCGTCCCATTGCTGCCTCGATAGTGCGCGACAGTGTTCCTCGACTGATCTGTTTACCTCAGCTATCTTCTTCCTCAGTCTTCGGTTCAGGCGCTGACCCTTCCAACGGTTCAGTAGTGCTTGCTTTGCCTCAAGAAGATGAGCAAGCCGGCTATCCATTCTTTCAACCGGAAGATCTGTGGTAATGGTGGAGGAGACGGATTCGATGTCATCTTTAATCTGTTTGACCCACTGCTCCAAGCCTTGTCTGTGGCCAACTTGTTCCCTTTCCATCCTAATCTTCCTGAACTTATCCCACTCTGTGAAGTGGAATTCTCTCTGCTTTTTACGCTCCACGGAGAAGGTAGTGGCAAGAATGCAGTGGTCACTCCCTAGGTCTACAGCAAGGTTCATCCACTGGGCCTTCTTGATGTTCCTTACAAATGTAAGGTCCGGGGTGGAATCCCTGCAGCAAGATGTACCAAGCCTTGTTGGTAGGCTGGGGTCTGTGATTAGGGTGAGATCAAGTTCACTGGCACTTTGCCAAAGTCGATTTCCTTTCCCAGTGTTGTACTTGTAACCCCATGTATGATGAGGGGCGTTGAAATCACCTGCTATGACGAGTGGACATTCCCCGGCGATATTAACAGCTTTCTTTAGAACCGTCTTGAACCCTTGATTTTGTTCCTTTGGACTGCTGTATATATTAAGAATGAAAATGCTCTGACGGTTGCTGGTACCCGGCACGATCTCTACCAAGACGTGTTCCAATCGGCCTGCTTCTATCTTGAGGTCATGGGTTACGTGCGTTAGTTTGTTGCATACGAAGGTGCAGACTCCCCTCCCTTCAGTATCCCCTATTACAGGCCGGAATCCAGGCAACGTTGCTTGCGGTGAAAGGGTCTCTTGTAATAATATAATATGAGGCTTTTTTTGGCTGCTCCTGATATACTGCTGCAGGGTTGCCTTCTTTTTAAGGTAACCTCTACAGTTCCATTGCCAGATACGAAATGCTTCACGTAGCGCTGCCATCATGGTTATTACATGGGTGGCCAGAGCCTGATGCTGCACCTGTCGACAGGTTTGGTACCACTAGTATTGGTGGCCGAAGGGGTGAGCTTGGTGCATGAGGAGGCCTTGCTGTGTTGTGCAGATATGATTCGACCTTTGTAATGCGCAAAGTCATATGCTCTTCCAGTGCCGCCACGCTTGATTGTAGCGTACCCATCTGCTCGCTAAGATTGGCTACTACTTTGCTGAGCGTGTCAAACACCTCTTTCATATCTGACATGGTCGTTTGGTTGGCTTCCACGTGTTCTGCCATGACTGCCCTCTTTTTCGCGGTTCTCGAGTCCCCCACGTT